GAAGGTAAGTGCCAAGAGGGCAAGCACTGTCTGGGAACTGTTGTATACCCAGCTCTTAGAACAGGAACTGGCAATAAGAGGATCCCGGGAAATGTTTGTTATTGAATGAGCAAAAAAGTTCAGAGGCACCAGGTGTGGTGGTGAACGCCTGTAATCCCAGCACTTTGGGGAGGCCAAGGTAGGAGAATCGCTTGAGCACAGGAGTTCAAGAGCAGCCTGGGAAATATAGCAAGACCCTGTCTCTACAAAAAATGTAAAAAATTATCCAGGCATGGTGATGTGCACCTGTGGTCCCAGCTGCTCGAGAGGCAGAGGCAGGAGGATTGCATAAACCCAGCAGTTCAAGGTTACAGTGAGCCATGAATGAACCACTACATTCCAGCCTCCTGGGTGACAGAGTGAGGCCCTGTCTCAAAAAAAGAAAGAAGAGGAGGGAGAGAGAGAGAGAGACAGAGTCAGAGACAGAGAGAGAGAGAGAAGGAAAGAAAGAAAAGAAAAAAGAATTTGGAGAAAAGAGGCTGAATGTCAACAGCAAAACTCAACCCCTGCTTCTTTCCCCTTGGATGTAGCGTGATTTACTGCCAAGTCTTCTAGCAATTTTTTTTTTTTTTTTTTGAGACAGGGTCTCACCCTGTTGCCCAGGAGGCTCGAGTGCCGGAGTGTGATCATAACTCAGTGCAGCCTTGACTTCCCAGGTTCAAGTGGTCCTCCCACTTCAGCCTCCCAAGTAGCTGGGACTACAGTCACGTGCCACCACCATGCCTGGCTAATTTTTGTATTTTTCGCAAAGCCGGGGTTGCCCACGGTGGTCTCAAACTCCTTAGCTCAAGCGATCCTCCCGCCTTGGCCTCCCCAAGTGCTGGGACTCCAGGTGTGAGCACCATGGCCAGCCTCTTCTTGCAATTTTTCAAACCACCCTAGTTCCCCCATCATCAACAACTAGCGTGATATGTGAAGTGTGCGTGGTCTTCATAGGTGGGAAAGAATGTGGGCTCTCAAATGGGTAGGGACATACTCATTTTATTTTTTTGAGACAAAGTCTTGCTCTGTTTCCCAGGCTGGAGTGCAGTGGCGCGATCTCAGCTCACTGCAACCTCTGCCTCCTGGGTTCAAGTGATTCTCCTGCCTCAGCCTCCTGAGTAGCTGGGACTACACACCCAGCGAATTTTTGTTGTTTTTCATCAGTAAAGACAGGGTTTCACTATGTTGGCCAGTCTGGTCTTGAACTCCAGGCAAGGATATGTTTCTTTGAGACAGCAACTGAGTTCACAATAACCTCGAGTAGACTCTGGAGTAGCAGTCTGTGCGTTCATTCCACTTTTGGGGGAATCCTTGCACGTCTGTGAGTCTGAGGGAACTGTACGCACAGGGGGCCCACCGGGAAAATGAAATGGTTTTAAAGCAAAACCTCTGATCTGACTTGAAAACCTGGCACGTATCAGGTTTTACCAGGCTAAGACAGCAGAGAGACGTGAGCTGTTCTTCTCCAAGGCATATTCTGTACTGAGATGGGAGGTGAATCATCACACACACATTGAATACATGAGTCCAAGGAGAGAGCACAGGCAATAACACCACGCTCCAAGCAGTTTGCCTGTTACAGGCAGGAGGCAGGGAGAGGTGGAGGTGGAAGGAACAAAGAGCTCATTGAGTATCACCTTCCTCAACCACAAGACTGACCTCGCGACCCCAGCACCTGCTGGGGAGGGAGGGGAAGGGGCATGGAGCCTCTAGCTGCTGGAAAGCGGAAGGATTTGTATTAGTGAACATTAATCTCCCTTTAGCTATGGAAACTGTGGAGGATGCACTGTCTTGCCAAAGGAGGCCTAGAGCCGGCCAGAGCTCTGCAACAGGAGACCACAGAGCGGGCGGGGCACCTGTGGTTGGGCATACAGGCTTAGTGCACGCTGAGGGCTTATGTCACCGAGGGGGTGTCCTGGAACTCCTACGTCTATTCAATGCTCCCCGCTGGTCTGTATTTATTATTTACTTCCTTGGGGCAGGATTAGGGTCAGGTCTGCAAGCACTTGTTGGTCCAGCAAGCTACAGGAGACTTTGTACCCTCAGGGGGAAGACGCATGTGCTTGGTGAGGCTGCCTTCATCGGAACAATGACCACCCGTTGTCCAAATGACAGGCGACATTTCAAAGGAGCGGCTTGCAAAAAACCCTCAGCTGCTGACTGCACATGTTCTTCCCTTAGAAAACACCCATCCGGCCGGGCGCGGTGGCTCACGCCTGTAATCCCAGCACTTTGGGAGGCCGAGGCGGGCAGATCACAAGGTCAGAAGATCCAGACCATCCTGGCTAACACAGTGAAACCCCGTCTCTACTAAAAATACAAAAAATTAGCCGGGCATGGTGGCAGGCGCCTGTAGTCCCAGCTACTAGGGAGGCTGACGGAGAAGAATGGCGTGAACCCGGGAGGTGGAGCTTGCAGTGAGCCGAGATTGCGCCACTGCACTCTAGCCTAGGCGACACAGCGAGACTCCGTCTCAAAAAACAAAAACAAAAACAAAAACAAAACAAAACACCATCTGGTTGGAGGAAGAAGACGCAGAGCAAATAAATTCAGATGTTTTATTCTGTAAAGCACATATGCACGTATTTCAAACACAGAAAATTAATCTGGAAGTGAATGCCGTAACAGATCAGCTACTGACCATCATGCAGCAAGAGGTGAAATGGACCCGCTGGCCCTCAGGACCCCACAGTGCCTGCAGGAGGGGTGAAAACCCAGGAAGCTGAAGCCCTACATGCTGCCGAGGAAAACGCAACAGACATGGCAGGTGCCTCATGACAAGAAACACTTACAAATAGAATCAAAACTGATTCAAGTCATACAGTGAAAGGACAAAAGGAAAAAGGAAAGAGATCAATATGATCTGAAACAATCATTTTAAGAGTAAGTTGCTGACCTTCTGCTGGCCCTCCAGTCCGAGATGCCTGAGGGTGAGCTAGTGCTCCTGCACGGGGCCGCCCTGAACAGCAAGAGCACCCTGTCTGTCACACACTTCGAATCCTGAGGTCCACCAGCAAACTCCGGCTGAGCATTGAGCCTGGGAAGTGCTCAGATGGTGACAGGTCCCCTGGGCTTTCTGAGACTCGCTGGAGTCTCTTCAGGTCCTAGGCCTCTTCACCCAGGCCCCCAGGCCTCCTCTCTCCCTGCAGCCTTCCTTTATAAAACTGATTGACTCTGTGTTTCTGTAAGATCTTTGAGAAGTACTTGCTTAGGTGAATGCTGGGATTTTAAAGTGTGTGTCCTGGGCTCAGGACGAGCCATCTGTCCAGGCATTTTTGGCACTTCCTTTCCTCACATCTAACAGTGTCGCCCCTCCCCTGGCTACAGAGTCCAGCCACACTCTGTCGTTAAAACAAGGGTAACTAATATTAGCAACGAGCTGGACAGAACGAACCAGTGAAATTGGCTTTTTCACTGTCTTTCTCCTTCGATACCACTCTGCCAGCTATAAATCTATCCCTATAACTCTGCTTCATTGGGATTTTATTAATTCAATAGCAGCTTAATCTAAAATCTGACGGTCCTAATGATAACGGCGTTTCTAGAGCCAAGCCACAGGGCTCTTTCTCAATCTTGTGTCCTAAGGGTCTCAAAGTCTCTAAGGAGAAAACTAAATTAATAAGTGAGCCATGCATCGTGTAAGCAACTCGTATCATACAAAGAAACTGGATAGACAAGTATGATTACTGCGCTTGAAACATACGAAAAGGAAAAAGAGGAATACTAACATATCAAGTTACTATGGTGATTATTTTAACAATCTTCAATAAAAGCCCGCAACTGTTTTCCATTCAAAAATGCCGGGGATAAAATGTTCTAAGCCAATGTATTTCAGAATGAAGGAACTAATCCTAATTCAAAACAGACTACAAACCTAGAGTTAAGGAGAGGAAGTACTCATGGTCATGTCCAAGGTTTTCAGTGCCCTTCTGTTATAACATTGCCTGGGAGAACACAGAAGTTATTAGTGACAATGAGCTATTAAGGCAAAAAGTTATTAAGAAAAATAATAAGAATACAATATGAAAGCACTGAAAAAGATAATGTACAATTTTGCTTAAATGAATAAGGATTAGAAGGAAAAAGAGACAGAGGAACTAGACAATCAAACAAAACGTTGTAAGAGGGCCGAGTGTGGTGGCTGACACCTGGAATCCCAGGATTTGGGGAGGCCGAGGTGAGAGGATCATTTGAAGCTAGGAGTTTCAGACCAGCCTGGGCAACAGAGGGAGACCCTGTCTCTACAAAAAAATTTAAAAACTAGCCAGGCGTGCTGGCACACGCCTGTAGTCCCAGCTACTCAGGAGGCTAAAGTGGGAGGATTGCTTGAGCCCAGGAGTTGGAGGCTGCACTGAGCTATGCTCCAGCCTGAGGGACAGACAGAGCAAGACCCTGTCTCAAAAAAAAGAAAAAAAAAAAAAAAGAAAAGTTACAAGAAAAATGCTTTTGGTTTTCCCTGATAAATGGCAAATTAGAATTGCATTCCTTCAAACTTCACAGGCACTGTTTTCCTCCTGAAGATATGTTAGTCACATAAAAAGCAAAAAAAAAGGAGAAATCCACCCACTCTTGAAAGAAAGAAAAAAGAAAGAAAGAAAGAAAGAAAGAAAGAAAGAAAGAAAGAAAGAAAGAAAGAAAGAAAGAAAGAAAGAAATCCTTTCCTATTACAACTATTAGAATTATTCTTTCTTTCCATACTGTCATCTGCATTCCAGAAAGCAGAAGAGCAAACGGTCACTCTAACTCTAGAGCCACTTACATTTTGAAGCCCTTCTGAGTGAAGAGGCTGCTTTAACTTTGACAACAGAAGGGAGGGACAAGAGCGGCCAAGAAGACAGTAGAACCTTCTGTGCCAACTCCAACAAGACCAGGTTCCTGGTCACCCATGTGGAAAATGAAACTTAGATTTTTACCATGTACGTGACTTAAATATTTAACATTTTTCTCAGGATAAAAGCACAAGTCTGTCCTAACTGGAGTAGTATTAAAATGAGACTATTTTATTTTTTCTTTATAAAGGAAAAAAATAAACAAATAAAAAAAACTTAGGTATGTTTCCTGCAAGCAAAATGGAGAAAAAGGTACTATTGTTGTTACTATGATTATTAAGCCACAGACACATAAAATCCACAAAATGGATTGGTGGCTTTGGAAATGCAATACTGTATCAAAGGTGCAGACTGTTTCAAACGTTCTCTACATACTGGGCCGAAACAAGAACCAAACCAAACTTCAACCCCACCAGTGAGGCAACGCACCCGTGACCTTAGTGAAAACATCGTCGTGACCAGCTCCAACGCAGCTAGATCCAGGAAATCCTTCTCTAGAGGCATGTAGAAACATCCCATCAGGTAGGTCCTCAAGTCCAAGGTGGGGCTGAAGGGCTCTGGCTGCACCCAGGGCAAAGCACGTGCATTATTGGACCAATTTCTGAATAGAATTTTATAAATATGTACAAATCAGTTACAGGCACTTGAAATGTCTTTGGCTGGAATAACCCAACATCGCAAGATAATGTATTCACAGAGCGTCCAGGCCCAGGCTGGGTTCAGCAGGCAAGGATTATGGTTCTCTCAGTCTCTCTCAGAAAACAAGGAACTGTGGAATTAGGCTTCAGCCAAAGCCACCTGGAAGACAGCCAGCCAAGGAAACCAGTCAAAAAGGGAAGCCCAGGTTAACTCAGCTTCTACCCAAAGACCAGGACGCCACACTGATTGCACATATCAACCAGACAGTGAAGTTACTAAATCCCTAAGAAGAAAATCTCACCTAGGAAGAAATTACTAGAAATCTCAAAGTCTCCTGCAAGATGCAGCCCATCTGGAACCACTGTGCAGAGACAGAATTAACTGGTTTTTGTTTTTTTGAGACACAGTCTCGCTCTGTTGTCCAGGCTGGAGTGCAGTGGTGCAATCATAGGTTACTATAGTTTCCAACTCCTAGGCTCAAGCAATCCTCCTACCTCAACCTCCCCAGTAGCTTGGAATACAGGCATGCACCATTACATGTGGCTAATTTTTTTAACTTTTAGTAGAGATGGGGTCTCACCATGTTGCCCAAGCTGGTCTTGAACTCCTAGGCTCAAGTGATCCTCCTGCCTCAGTCTCCCAAAAGTCCTGGGATTACAGGTGCACCCAGCTGAGGTAACTGTCTTTAAACCTTGGTAAACATTCTGTTAGAAGACTTCTTATGCTGATGGAACTACAGAGGAGCCAGCTACCCAGGGTCAGTAGTGCCCCAGTGGAGACTTGAGAACAACTGCCAAGTCACTCCCTTTAATGGTGATGGAGGTTTGGGTATATGATTAAAAATCCAACACCATAGTTTAGGTTGAGGGTAAAGACACTTCTAATGAAGGCAGAAACTACAGTTGGCCTTCTGTAATTGTGGGTTTCATACCCACAGATTCAACCAAAAATACACAAAAGAGGGCTGGGCACGGTGGCTTACACCTGTAATCAATTGTAATCTTTGAGAGGTCAAGGTGGGTGGATCGCTTGAGCCCAGGAATTCAAGACCAGTCTGGGCAACGTGGCAAAACCCCATCTTTTCAAAAAATACAAAAATTAAGCAGGTGTGGTGATGCATGCCTGTGGTCCCAGCTACTCAGGAGGCTGAGGATCGCTTGAGCCTGGGAGGTCAAGGCTGCAGTGAGCTATGATTGTGTTATGAGCTATGATCGCACCACTCCACTCCAGCCTGGGTGACAAAGCGAGACCCTGTCTAAAAAAAAAAAAAAAAAAAAAAAATTAAAAACAGCAAAAATACTCAAAAGAAAAAAACCAATACATACGAATACAACAATAAAAATAATACAAGTTTTTAAAATACACTGTAACAACTATTTACATAGTATTTACATTGTATTAGGTATTATAAGTAACCTAGAAGCTGGGCACAGTGGCTCACGCCTGTGATCCCAGAACTTTGGGAGGCCAAGGCAGGTGGATCACTTGACATCAGCAGTTCGAGACTAGCCTGGCCAACATGGTGAAACCCTGTCTCTACTAAAAATACAAAAATTAGCTAAGTGTGGTGGCGTACGCCTGTAATCCCAACTACTCTCAAGGCTGAGGCAGGAGAATCACTTGAGCCCAGGAGGCAGAGGTTGCAGTAAACGGAGATCACGCCACTGCACTCCAGCCTTGGTGACAGAGCAAAACTGTCTCAAAAAAAAAAAAAGTAATCTAGAGATTAAAGTTACAGAGGATGACCTGGGCCCAATGGCTCACACCTGTAATTCCAGCACTTTGGGAGGCCAAGGCGGGTGGATCACTTGAGGTCAGGAGTTTGAGACCAACCTGGCCAACATGGTGAGACCCTGTCTCTACTAAAAATGCAAACAATTAGTGGGGCATGGTGGCATGCGACTGCAATCCCAGCTACTCAGGAGGCTGGGGTAGGAGAATTGCTTGAGCCCGGGAGGCGGAGGCTGCAGTGAGCCAAGATAGTCCCACTGCACTCCAGCCTGGGTGACAGAGTAAGACTCCAACTTCAAAAAAAAAAAAAAAGTTACAGAGGATGTGCAGAGGTCATATGCAAATATTGTACCATTTTACAGAAGGGATTTGGACATTCATGAATTTTGGTATCCACCAGGGTCCTGGAACCAATCCTCCTTGGATATTGAGGGATAACTGTCATTTCTTTGGATGAAAGGCGCCACCCACAATAAATGGAGTAAGGATAACTGGGACTTTCTGTATACAGAGACCTCTGGCAAAATGCTGGCCTGGACCCCATCCACAGCTCACCTTCTCGGGACAAAATTCAGGATTGCTCTGACGCAATTTGCTGGGTCTGCCCTTGATAACAGCATAGCAAAACATCGTTATCACCATCACAAAGAGGAAGTAACTGGTGTGCATGAGATGCAAATTTATTAATGAACGGTCATCCTAAATAAAGAAGAGAAAAAAATCAGAAACATCTGCTCTGAGTGACTGAAAGGTTTTAATGCTGGGTTTTGAGAGACAGGACTGACAACCTCGAGACTTGCCACAACTTTTCTTCTTAAGCTGCAAGAGGAGGTTTCTCGTTTTGTCTCCTAAGTGACCAAAGCTGGATCTCATTAAGTGAGGACATGGTGCTCCTGAGCCTCTGTTGGAGAGCATCCACACCTTCCTAGCCCTAGGGCTGTCCTCTGCCCTGTCTTCTGCACCCCCACACTGCCTGAACCCTGCCCCTCCAGCAGGCTTCTCCCCTGCAAAGGCTGCAGACACTCCGTCTTTAAGCCCCACTCCTTTCTGGACACATCCTCGTCATGGGACTGCCCTCAGGCTGCATGGCAGACAGCTGAGGCTGCATTCCTAACTACTGGGTATGCCACCACCAGGAAGGCCTCGGCCCCTCACCTCTCCCCAGGGTTGCCTCCCTCCTCCTGCTTTTCTCTATGTCCCTGGATGAAAATGCTGAGGTCATCCTTGATTCACTGCCCTTTGACCTCCCACATGCAGTCAATCCCCAGGCCCTGCAAGTTACTAGAGGGACCCCAGACATGCTTCCATTCCTTTACCCTCAGTATCTCCAGGCCTCAGGTCAGCCCTGGACTCCCTGCAGGTCACTTACAACATAGTGGGGCAGCTCAGTCTTCTCAATACACTGCTTTACCAACCCCCAAGCCCCAAACACAGGCAGGGAGTGCCCTTTGTCAGGCATGAAGGGCCACAGCCCACCATCCAGCCTGACCTCCACAGCTGGCTCCTGCAGGACCCTGGCCTACAAATGAGCCCCAGAAAAGGGCAAAGGCTGGGCGCAATGGCTCATGCCTATAATCCCAGCACTTTGGGAGGCTGAGGTGGGAGGATCACCTGAGGTCAGGAGTTCAACACCAACCTGGCCAACATGGCAAAACCCCATCTGTACTAAAAATACAAAAATTAGCTGGGCGTGGTGGCAGGTGCCTGTAATCCCAGCTGCTTTGGAGGCTGAGGCAGGAGAATCACTTCAACCCAGGAGGCAGAGGTTGCAGTGAACCGAGATTGTGCCACTGCACTCCAGCCTGGACAACAGAGCGTGACTCCATCTCAAAAAAAAAATAAATAAATAAATAAAAATAAAGAAAAAAAGAAAAGGACAAAGGGCTAGGCCAAAAGAAGAGAGATCCAGCTAACACACACTGCCAGAAAGGAACACATTTACAAAATATCAAAGCAGTGTTAAAAAGTGGGCTCAGGCCGGGTGCGGCGACTCATACCTGTCATCCCAGCAATTTCGGAGGCCAAGGCAGGAGGATCGCTTGAGGCCAGGGGTTCAAGACCAGCCTGGGCAACACAGTAAGACCCTGTCTCTACAAAAAGTTTAAAAATTATCCCAGCATGGGACATGCATCTGTAGTCCCAGCCCCCCATGAAGCTTCAGACCAAGAGTCGGAAGCTGCAGTGAGCCATGATTGTGCCACTAGAGCCCAATCTGGGTGACAGAGCAAGATCCCGTCTCTAAAAAAATAAGTGGGCTCAAGTCTAAGTAGGAAGCTGAGCTAGCACACAGCTGCTAGACGAGATAGGTAAGTATTTTATTCTCCTTGTCTCTTGGTTTAGTTAAATACTATTCAGGCCTCACTCTCTAGTCGAAGATTCATCTCCTTCTACTACTTCTACCTTTCAGAACTCTAAGCAGTACTAGTTTTGTTCACATGGACACTAGACAGTCTTCTATGAATGTCTGTGAACATCCTCTAAGATAATATTTATACAAGGATCCCTTGTAACCCCCCAGGGATTAGGCAGTTGCTCAAGAAATAACTGCCGCTGAACAACAGAGAAAAGGAAGAGAAGAACCAGATTTTTCTTAACCAATGGGTGGCATGTTTTTCCAAGCATCCACCACTCCGCCTAGTGTCCCAACTCACCTGCAAATCTAACGTGGCAAAGGAGACGCTTACCCAGGGAAGTTAGCAGGGCCTATACAACAGTTGCAGCACATGCACACACATGTGCATATGCACGCAGACGCGCACACACACACACACACACACATGATTTTTCTCACTTACATCTGGAACAATCACTGTAAGTTTGGGATTTAAAGCATGATAGACTTTTCCAATGGCCCCCTTGTAACACCAGAAAGGATTGTAATCTTGCGCATATTTTGTGTTGGCATCTCTGGCAGTTGTGAAGATCTTGTACCAGAGCGTGGCGTTGCTGTATGTGTCAGGAACACAGTGTGGTGGCTGTCTGCAGGGGAAGAGAAGGAGGAAAGACATGTGCTCAGTGGCCTGAGTCATTCACTTGTGTCACCCCCACAGCAGCTGGTAAAACATCAAACACGGCAACACACGTGGAAAGGAAAAATGTAACTTACATGTTCATGATTCTTTGACATAAATACCATTATATTTTAGTTTGAGAGTCTTTTTAAAAAAATAAAAATATAACAGAAAAATAAATAGGTGCCTGACATTTAGGAGTTTGGGTGTTGGATTTCTGCCTTCAGAATTCAACCTACAGTCCTCTCACACGTGATGCAAAGGACATAAGCTCCTTGGAAGCCTATCTTCTCAAATTAGCTAAACTCTTAGTATATTAGTCCATTATCACGCTGCTAATAAAGACATATCCGGGACTGGGTAATTTATAAAGGAAAGAGGCTTAATTGACTCACAGTTCAGCATAGTCGGGGAAGCCTCAGGAAACTTACAATCACGGCAGAAGGGGAAGCAAACACATCCTTCTTCACATGGGGCAGCAAAGAGGAGTGCCAAATAAAAGGTGGAAAACCCCTTATAAAACCATCATGTCTCATGGGAACTCACTTACTATCATGAGAACAGCAGCATGGGGGTAACCACCTCCATGATTCAATTACCTCCCACTGGGTCCTTCCCATGACAAGGGGATTATGGGAACTACAATTCAAAATGAGATTTGGGTGGGGAGACAGCCAAACCATATCATCTTTTCTTTTTTTTGAGACAGAGTCTCGCTATGTTGCCCAGGCTGGTGTGACCTTGGCTCACTGAAACCTCCACCTCCCAAGTTGAACTGATTCTCCTGCCTCAGCCTCTCAAGTAGTTGGGATTACAGGCATGAGCCATTGCACCCAGCCCAAAGCATATCACTTAGTTACAACTGGAAACTTTACCTACAAAATTCTGTATCAGTTACTGTAACACAAAGTAATGTTTAACTTAATCTGATCTTGTCCTACAAACCTCCAAATGTCTAAAATAGACAAATCCCAGGATAATTCTTATTTAAAAAGAATTCACCACAGAATTCTTTTAAATAGGCTGTATCTTATGTATTTCACCTATTTATTTATAGATAATTATCTCCTTTACAGACAGGAGAGACAAAAACAAAAAAACAAAAAAACAAAAAAACAACACCTAAAAGGCAAAACAATAACACTGAATGCTGCTCAAAAACACTGAAGGAAAAGTTTCAAAAACCTTAATTGTTTAATGGAAAATAAAGTTCAATTTATATTTGATTTTAAAACTAACTTTCAAATTAGTAGGTAAAATTAAAGTTAGTAATTATTTAACGGGAAATGATTTAAAATGTTACACTTTAAAATCAGTAACTGTTTAACGGAAAATAAGTTTTGATTTATACTTGATTTAAAACTAAAATCAAGATAAACTTAAATCGACGATTTTAAATTATCTTTCTGGATAATGGAGATGAACAAATGTTTATCTTTGTTTTATTTTATTTATTTACTTTTTTGGGACGGAGTCTTGCTGTCACCCAGGCTGGAGTGCAGTGGCACGATCTTGGCTCACTGCAACCTCTGCCTCCCAGGTTCAAGTGATTCTCCTGCCTTAGCCTCCGAGTAGCTGGGATTACAGACATGTGCCACCAGGCCCAGTTAATTTTTGTATTTTTAGTAGAGATAGGGTTTCACCATGTTGGCCAGGCTGGTCTTGAACTCCTGACCTCAGGTGATCCCCCTACCTTGGCCTCCCAAAGTGCTCGGATTATAGGCATGAGACACTGCACCTGGCTGAAAACCTTTATCTTTAGAGAGTCTCCTTTCTCTTTTCTTTTTTTTAAACAGAGACAGGGTCTCCCTATATGTTATCCAGGCTGGTCTTCAACTCCGGGGCTCAAGGGATCCTCCTACCTCAGCCTCCCACAGTGCTGGGATCACAGGCCTCAGCCACTGCACCCAGCCACAGTGAGCCTCTTTTCTGTAACTTGCTGCTTCTACTCCTGCAGGAAAAGACAGCCTATGAATGTCCAACAACATCCAGGTGCTTTTACTGCCTCGAGGGGACACTAACTTTTGATTTTATTCGCGGAAGTTCTATCTTTAGAATTCCTAATTAAATAATCTTTTAGACAAATTAAATAATCCTTTAGATAGGTCGGAGTAGAGATAATTCTATAAAGAAATGTGAAGCAAGCCATCCTGAGAATTTATGGCCGAAGCAGCCCAGCTGTACTCAGGCAAGTGGGGCTTGTCACGTGTGTTCACCGGGCGCCGGGTACACTTACACAGTGACGGGGAACACCCCGGGGCTGGCCGTGAGGGTCATGCAGGCTGTGAACACCACCTGCTCACAGTGACCGTGGAGGGCGCAGTCGTCTGAGCTCCACGCTGTAGGCAGGGTGAAGGTGATGTTTATCTCCTCGTGGGCTTCCCTGCCTATGAAAGAGAAATCGTTTTTTTATGAAGAACCACGTATTTGTTATTCTTTGGCATACAAATAAACCCTGAAATCAAACCTACATAGGAATCATCTATCAGCCCAGGAACCTGCCTTTGTGGGATCTGAGGAACAAGAGCAGTCCTGACCCTGACCATGAGGCCTGCTCAACTCAGAGCTACGAAGCAGCGAAGGAAGTGGCCGCTTTCCAGTCATGGCCTGGAGATGCCAAACCAGACCTCGGGCAGATCAGAGGTGAAAAACTTGGGCTGGGTGAATTATCCCCACCATTTCTGCACACCCGTCTAGCCATTTTCAAACATTTTTTACACATATTTCACTTAAAATTTACTCTTCTCCCATGAACATGACCAAAGAAATGCAGTTGTCCCCCTTTTACATATGAACAAACAGAGGTCAGAGGGTTTCAGAGTTAAGAAAAGCAAGTGATGAAGCTTAAATTAAAACCAACGCATTGCCAGGCACAGTGGTTCACATCTATAGTCCCAGCACTTTAACTTTAGAAGGCTGAGGCAGGTGGATTACTTGAGGCCGGGAATTCACGACCAGCCTGAACGTGATAGCAAGACTGTCTCTATAAAAAACTTTAAAAAATCAGCCAGGTATACTGGTGCACACCTGTGGTCCCAGGTACTAGGGAGGATCACTTGAGCCCAGGAGTTTGCGGCTGCAGTGAGCTATGATCACACCACTGCACTCTAGCCTGGCAACAGATCAAGACTGTCTCAAAAAATAAATTTTAAAAATTAAAATGAAACAATAGCCAGGCATGGTGGCTCATGCCTATAATCCCAGCACTTTGGGAGGCTACGGCGGGCAGATCATTTGAAGTCAGAAGTTCAAGACCAGCCTGGCCAACATGGTAAAATCCCGTCTCCGCTAAAAATACAAAATTAGCTGGGCATGGTGGCGTGAGCCTGTAATCCCAGCTACTCAGGAGTCTGAAGCAGAAGAGTCACTTGAACCCAGGAGACAGAGGTTGCAGTGAGCCAAGATTGTGCCACTGCACTCCAACCTGGGTGACAGAGTGAGACTCCATCTGAAAATAACAATAATAAAAAAAAGTAAAAAAAAAACCCGAAGGTGTCCTTATGCCATGCCATAAGAAATAGGTCCACTTGCTACACGGGAAACCCAGAAGTCACCTGATTATTATGGGAACATTCTCACCTCTAACCGCCAATAGGAGGCTGGTGGGCACTTAAATTCCTTCAAGGACTTTTTATTTGTTTCTTGTTTTTTTTGTTTGTTTGTTTTTTGTGTGTTTTTTGAGACAGGGTCTCACTCTATTGACCAGCCTGGAGTGCAGTGGTACAATCTTAGCTCACTGTAGCCTCGACCTCCCAGGTTCAAGCAATCCTCCCACCTCAGCCTCACAAGCAGCTGGGACTACAGGTGCACGCCACGACACCTGGCTAATTTTTTATATTCCTCATAAAGACAAGTGTTTGCTATGTGCCCAGGTTGGTCTTCAACACCAGAGCTCATTCAATCCTCCTGCCTCAGCCTCTCAGTGTGCTGGGATTACAGGCATGACCCACTGCACCCAGCCTAAGAACTTTTTAAAAAGCCTTTTGGTAACCAAAGAACAAAAGGTTATTCTTCCAAGGCCCAGGTGTCCCACAAGAAGCCTTTCCCAATTATTCCAGCTTCCACTGCCTTCTAGCCCTTCTCCTGCGTCAATTACAGTCTGTCATGGGTTTAGTACTGGTCACAGGGCAGTGCTCCACATTTTATAAGCATGTATTTTTCATATTCCTTATCAAGCACTTTCATAGCATTTCCTTTGTGGGAGGACTATTATAAGTGCTTGATAAACATTAACTCACGTTTATCTTTGTCTCTTCCATAACCCCAAAATTCCAAAAGGAAGAGACTACATCTTAGGTTTTTTTTTTTTTTTTTTTTTTTGAGGTGAAGTCTTGCTTTGTTGCCTAGACTGGAGTGCAGTGGTGTGATCTCGGCTCACTGCAGCCTCCGCCTCCAGAGCTCAAGTGATTCTCCCACCTCAGTCTCCAGAGTAGCTGGGATCACAGGCGCCCGCCACCATGTCCAGCTAATTTTTTTTGTATTTTTAGTAGGGATAGGGTTTCCCCATGTTGGCCAGACAAGTCTTGAACTCCTGACCTCAAGTGATCCACCCACCTTGGCCTCCCAAAGTGCTGGGATTACAGGCGTGAACCACTGCGCCCGGGCCCATCTTAGGCATTTTCTTTTCTTTTTTTGAGATGGAGTCTCGCTCTGTCGTGCAGGCTGGAGTGCAGTGGTATGATCTCAGCTCACTGCAACCTCCACCTCTCGGGTTCAAACAATTCTCCTGCCTCAGCCTCCTGAGTAGCTGGGACTACAAGTGCGGCGCATCACCATGCCTGCATGTCCAGCAATTTTTTTTTTTTTTTTTTTGGAGACAGAGTCTCTCTCTGTCGCCCAGGCTGGAGTGTAGTGGTGTGATTCTTAACTCACTGCGACCTCTGCCTCCCGGGTTCAAGCTCAGTCTCCCAAGTAGCCTCTCCTGCCTCAGTCTCCCAAGTAGCTGGGACTGCAGGTGCCCGCCACCATGCCTGGCTAATTTTTGTATTTTTAGTAGAGATGGGGTTTTGCCATATTGGCCAGGCTGGTCTCGAACTCCTGACCTTGTGATCTGACCACCTTGGCCTCCCAAAGTGCTGGGATTACAGGTGTGAGCCACTGCACCTGGCCAAATTTTTGTATTTTAGTAGTGATGGGGTTTCACCACGTTGCCCAGGCTGGTCTCAAACTCCTGAACTGAGGCAATCCACCCACCTTGGCCTCCCAAAGTGCTGGGATTACATGCACGAGCCACTGCGCCCAGTCATCTTAGCCATTTTCTAGTTCTTCCCAGCAGCTCAGCACAGTGTTGGACTAACAATGGCCATTAAAAAATCTATAAACTAATAGCAATAGAAGATGTGTAGTAAATAACGAAAACTCCAACAGGATAAGCCTGAATAAAAATTACATGTTTGTAAATATTAGACAGGCCTTATAGTTTTTTCACAGTTTCTTGTTCCTACAGGCTTTTGAGAAGCTACTTCAAGCCAGGTACTTTACCATGTAATGATGGTGTAGAAATGGTTCATGTAGTTCAAACTCAACAAAAAAAGACACACGTGCAAGACTACAATTTAGTACAATATAGTCAGTAAAAACACACACGGTGCCTCCTCTTTTTGTAACAGTGGTTGCTTGAGGAGCCTGAATGGAGAGTGGCTACTGCATACCTGAAAGTCCAATCTGATGCCCTAAGATGGTTGAGTACAGATGGGTGACGTTGCGGGAATACCCTCCGAAGGGTTTCAGTGGGTCCAGGGTTAGGGTGATTGCGACTGAGATATTCACAGGGCCCGAGTCCTCCAGGGCCTGGGGGGACTGGGTGGAAGCTCGGGCCTGCCCGCTGGTCATTGTGCTTTCCGGAGTTGTGGTGTCGTTTGTGAGATGCTTTAGCGTTTCATTCTCTGATACACACAGGTCCAAATCATTGAACCGTAGCAGAAAAGTATTCCAATCCTTTGGGGAAGTGAAAGAAAAAGAAATGAGTGTGAACAGCGCCTGCATCCCGCTGCGGGAACACAGGTAAGACCCTGGTGTGGCACTGCAGCACATCAGCAAACTACAATTCAGAGCTGGTCATTTAAGATCATGACAACACGGCCACCAACCTCCTCACAGGCAGCACAACGTGGCTTTCCTCATCACTTTTATATTTATAATCTAAAGTATGAACTCTTCTCTGGCACAAGATACTCAATAAACTGTGAAATCAAATCAATTTATTCAAGAAAATCTTCTTTTAAAAAAATCCAGCATATTACACATAGAGAAAATGATCTAGCCTCAGAACCAAACTGGAAAAGAAAGCTTGAATAAAAGCATTAATGCAAACTCACTTTGCAATTACAATTCTTTTTTTTTTTTTTAATAAAATCACCTTAAAATAATGTCCCAAAAGATCAGTTCCATATATCTTGCTCTCTTTCTCCAGAACACGAAACAGCAGTGAATACTAATACTCATTTGGGACACTGCCCCCCTTCTTATGGACTTTTGATGACACCTTAGAGCAGCAACAATTTCAAAAAGGAAGGGGCCAGGTGCAGTGGCTTGCACCTGTAATTCCAGCACTTTGGGAGGCCAAGGCAGGTGCATCATTTGAGGTCAGGAGTTCAAGACCAGCCTGAGCAACATGGTGAAACCACGTTTCTACTAAAAATACAATAATCAGCCAGGCGTGTGCCTGCAGTCCCAGCTACTTGGAAGGCTGAGGCACGAAAATCATTTGAAGTGGGGCAGAGGCCCCAGCAAGCCAAGATCGTGCCACTGAACTCCAGCCTCAGCCTGGGTGTCAGAGTGACATTCCATCTCAAATAAACAAAAAAAAAAGTCATCTGAGCAACCCCTAACCAGCCCAGTAAGTCTACCCTTACAGCATCAGTTTAACTGTATGTGACATTTAGTAAGACTGCAACTGGATCTATTAAATTACATTTCCCTAACACCTACAAACTCAACTGACCATTCTAGTATATTAGGGCTGAAAACGAACATTCTAGTCTCAGTCCTTCATAGTCCTAGACATGAAGAAACTGAGGCCCAGGGCAAATTAGGGACTCTCCAATTCTAGTTCAAGGTAGAATCGGCATTAAGTTCTGATTCACAGCCCCAAATGTTTCCCATACACCACTGCCTTTCCTACAACTTAGGATCCTCATTTGAAATAAAAATCACGAAACTAATCATAACCAAAGTTCTATAGCATCTCAACAATGCATTCCTACGGAGCTGGAGTCCACGTTGAACAGCCAGCTAAAGCCAATGCCAGGCCTAATTTGGATTATTAAGGGCTAATTATCCAGGCTTCATTGTAACCACTGGCCTTGGCCAAGTGCTCAACATGGACTCAAGATCTGCAGGAAAGAAATGGCAAGAGGCTGCAGAGCTTTCGTTTTGAGTAGCATATTCATTTTCAGCCCTGATGTGGGGGCAGCCTGTTTTCACAGCCTTTAAAGATTGAGGCAGGGTCAGCAAAGAGGGAGAATTAAGCCAGCCAGTATGTCTCTTAGTAACAAACTCTTTGAAAGGGTTACAAAGTAGAAATAGCTAAAACTTGTTACTTGAACTGTGCTAGAAAGAGTTCACATGTGTAGGCGGTTCGTTTTGCCAAGATCACTTAAGATCTAGAATGCCCTAGAGCTCAAGAGAAAGCTATGATCTCAATTACATGGAACAGAACTCTCCTCTCCAATGCAAGGCACACTCAATGTGGCAACCACACACTCCCAGCCCCACCCCCACCCCTACCTCCACCCAACAACAAACCCAAGAAGAAGGAAAAAGAGTAAGAGAAAGCACCCAAGGAATCTATTAAAAGACAGGAATTAGGCTGGGTGTAGTGGCTCACGCCGGTAATCTCAGCACTTGGGGAGGCTGAGATGGGTGGATCACCTGAGGTCAGGAGTTCAAGACCAGCCTGGCCAACACAGCGAAACCCCATCTCTACTAAAAAGACAACAATTAGCCAGACGTGGTGGTGGGCACCTGTAATCCCAGCTACTCAGGAGGCTGAGGCAGGAAAATCGCTTGACCCCGGGAGGTGGGGGTTGCAGTGAGCCAAGACGCCACTGCACTCCAGACTGGGTGACAGAACGAGACTCCATCTCAAAAAACAAAAATATTTGGTAATTAGATCCTGTTTTGAATTTCTTTAAGATTCCTTATCTCATGAAAAAAATGATTAGTACAGCTGATAAAACTCTATGATGATATGTGGTTTTAAAATACCAAATGTTCAGTTTTCTAAAACAGCAATGAACCCATTTGAGATGGAATATTAAAAAGGTGAGTTCTCCAGCTTTTTGACACAGATCATTTTACAAACGTACTCTCCAAAATGCATCTGTTTCACTGCTGAAATAGTCTAACTGAAACTGGTAGCATATTTAAATTGAACAATACCTATCTAGGTATTTCCTAACAAACTTGAGTCCTGGGGAGATGGAAAACAGAAAATTCTGAATAAATACCGACCTTTCTCACTAGGAGAGAAAGTCCAAAACCCAAGAAAGCTATATGACAAGCCACAGAGTGTTGCCCCACTCCACAAGGGCCAGCCAGCCCAGGAGAAGTCAGAACATACTGTACCTCTGCCATTTCTGGTGATTTAATCTCCTTGATTTTGAAGAAGTAGCCCAGGGTCAGAAAAGCTATGGCCATGGCACTCACGCTGATCATGAAGACCACCAGGGGAGGCCGACTGCTGATGTACACCTTCAGGTTCTCCAGGGGGTTGATGCTGAACATTATTCTGATCAGCTCCACCTGAAAGAAATTAATTAGAAGCCTTAAGGACTGACTTTCCAACAGGAAAGCTATGATTCTTTTGTTTTCTTTTGAGGTTTTAGGGGTTGAGCTCGGCGGATGGCACTTCATTACTGAATTTGGAGAAAAACGTCTCTCATATAACTCATTCAAAAGACAGAGCATGGGAAAAATGCTAATGTTTAATTGCCCATTTACCTCAGTGGCAGGTATCCTGGATACATATTCTCTTTCAGTGATGAATCCTCTAATATTTTGTGTGTGTGGTGTGTGGTGTGTTTTTAAAAACAGGGTCTCTTTTGCTCTGTCCCCCCAAGGCTGGAGTACAGTGGGTGAATTCATAGTCACTTGCAGCCTTGAACTTCCTAGGCTCAAGCTATCTCCCACCTCAGCTCCTGGGAGTTAGCTAGGTAAAGGGGTATGTACCACTCTGCCCGGACTACATTTATCCTTTTTTTTTTTTTTTTTTTTTTTTGAGGACAGGTCTCATCGTTCATCAGGGGCTGGAGCGAATTGGGCTAGTTCTTGGCTCCACTGCAACTCTAAACTTCCTGGTTCAAGCGATTCTCCACCTTCAGCCTCAGTAGGCTGGACTAACAGGGCGTTGTGCGCCCACACTCGCTAATTTTTATATTTTTAGTAGAGACGGGGTTTCACATATTGGCAGGGGGACTATCTCTAACTCCCTGACCTCGTAAATCTGCCTTGACTCGGCCCCCCAAGTGCTGGGATTACAGGTTTTGGCGCGGGTGAACCCCCACATACCCAGCTTAATTTATTACTTTTTAAGGGAATGGGGTCTCCAATGGACGGGGCACCGCGGGTGGGCTCACCCTTAATCCAGCACTTTGAGGCGGCGGTTGGATCACGAGGTCAGGGGATTTTTTGAGGACATTCTGGCCTAACATGGTGGAGAAACCCCATCTCTACTAAATCAAAAAAATTAGCCAGGGCGAGTGGGTGGGCTACACCTTGTTAGTCCCAGCTTCTCGGAGCTGAGGGCCAGAGGAGAATGGTATGTAACAGGAGGCGGAGTTTGGCAGGTTGAGTCGAGGCCATGCCCAACTTGCACTCGCCTGGCCAAGAGCAAGACTCAGTCTTTCAAAAAAAAAAAAAAAAAAAAAAAAGAGAGATGCGGTTCCTATGGTTTGCCAGGATGGCTCTGAACTCCTAGGCTCAAGCAATCCCCCTGACCTCAGCCTCCCAAAGTTCTGGGATTACAAGTGTGAGTCACCATACCCAGCCTCGATCTTCTAAATATTCTATAATAAATACTGTTACTTCCATATCACCTAAGAAAAGGTTTAGGTGGGTCAGTAATATGACACAAATACACAACAACATGTACAGAAAGAAACTAAGGATGCTCTCATTTCCTGCCACTGAAAAGCTGAATTCTACTTATTCAACATTCTGTCCTGTTCATTGCCATATCGCTCATAGCCATCCCAGCCTTGCTTAAAAGCGCCTAAGGCTTCCACCAGACCTAGAAGAGGTCGGTGATAGCTCCCTGTCATGGCCCACAGGGTTTTCAGGACTCAGAAGCCCTGCCAATCTCCTGACTGCATCGCCATCCACTTCCCCTTCTCCCTCCTGGGCTTTGGCCACGCTGGACTTGCTATTCTTCAGGATCATCTTGTCAATTTCTGCAAGGAAATCGGCTGGGACACTGGCAGGGATTGCACTCAATCTGTGATGGGTTTGGGGAGTACTGCTCTCTTAACAGTGTTGTCTGCTAGTCCGAGAGCCTCGGATGCCTTTCCGTCTATTTGGCTTCTTTATTTCAACAATATTTTCTGTTTTCACAGTGTTAAGTTTGCACTGCTTTTATTAAGTTTATTCCTAAGTATTTAATGCTTCTTGCCATTTTTGACCATGATCTAGCTGAAGACTTTTGCATCTGCCTGGATGCTTTTCCCAAACATTTCCACATTTGTTCTTCTTAAAACGCACGTCTATGGCTGGGTGCAGGGGCTCACACTTGTAATCCCAGCACTTTGGGAGGCTGAGGCGAGTGGATCACTTGAGGTCAGGAGTTCAAGACCAGCCTGGCGAACACAGCAAAACTCCACCTCTACTAAAAATTAAAAAATTAGCCAGATGTAGTAGTGCACACCTGTAATCCCAGCTACTCGGGAAGCTGAGGTAGGAGAATCGCTTGAACCTGTGAGGCAGAGGTTGCAATGAGCCAAGATCACACCACTGCACTCCAGCCTGAGCGACAGAGTGAGACTCTGTCTCAATTAAAAAAAAAAAAAAAAAATGCAAGTCTCTGTTTAACAGTCAGCTCCTCAGACCATGCCTTCCCTGGTCACCCTCAGCCCCTGCTTTATTTCCTTCATATTGTTTAGCATCAACCAAGAGCACAATTATTTTCCTACTTGTTTACTGTCTGTCATCCCTCATTAATGAGCCCAATGAGAGCAGACATTTTGCCTGTCTTGTTCACGGCTACAGCCCTGGCCCCTGACCCCTAGAACAGCAGCTGGCACACAATGATCACTTACAAATATGAGCAGACTGCAACAACATTAGCAAAAAGCAATTTTTTAAAAAGTCTGTATCAGCGTTTTACAGAGACAAAAGGATGCATCAACAGCCCCTAAAAATCAACAGTAACACATTTTCCATGCCATTTTCACTCAGCATTCGTTTTCCTGACATCTCTATTGATCTCTGTTGATCTAGTTCGCTGAATTTCACTGATGTATATATGTAAAAATTGTTATGTGGTTAAGTTAACCCAGTCTGAGGGGTCCAGCTGGGTTCCTGTCACTGTTTCACCCACAAAGGGCATTGAAGCAGGTACAAGAGTGGCTGTAGTACAGCAAGGTCACAGGGTAGGGCCCGTCTTCAACCTGATACTGTCAGACCACTCTCCAAGGAGATCAACCAGTTTACACTTCCCCAGCAATGAAGGAGCCTGCTCCATTCCATGAGATTTGTGCCGATACTTGATTTCCTAAGGCATATTAATTTGGTCCAAAAAGACAGATGTGAAATGATATCTCTATTATTTTAAATTGTATCTCCATGAAACAGAGCATCTTTCCATTTTTTTAACCAGACATTTAGGCCCATTCTTAAGTGAACTGCCTGAATCCTCTGGTAATTTACTAATAGGGTGTTAGTCTACTTCTTATTGATGTTTAGAAATTCCTTTTGTGTTTCAGGTACTAACCCTTTAACAGTTTTATATGTTACATATAATTAATCCAAGTCTGGGTTTTCTTTAATATGGTTTATGGTATCTTTTGCCATATGAAAGGTTCTTCAGAAGCCGGGCACAGTGGCTCATGCCTGTAATCCCAGCACTTTGGGAGGCTGAGGCGGGCGGATCACGAGGTCAGGAGTTCAAGACCAGCCTGGCCAATATGGTGAAACCCCGTCTCTACTAAAAATACAAAAAGTAGCTGGGCATGGTAGCGTGTGCCTGTAGTCCCAGCTACTCAGGAGGCTGAGGCAGGAGAATCACTTGAAGCCAGAAGGCGGAGGTTGCAGCGAGCTGAGATCGCACCACTGCACTTCAGCCTGGGCGACAGAGCAAGACTCTGTTTCAAAAAAAAAAGAAAAAGAAAAAGAAAGGTTCTTGATATTTTTAATGGTACTATTAATAAATAATTCACATAGCATATAATTCACCCATTTAAAATATACAATTCAACGATTTTTGGTATATTCACCGAATTGAAGAACAATCTCCACAATCAATTTTCAAATGTTTTCACTGCCCTATAAAGAAAGTCCAACATATAACAGATACATAAAAAAGAAATTAAAACATACCACCAGAGAAAAATTACCTTCACTAAAATGAAGACAGGAAGGAAGGAAAGAAAGAAGAAAAGATCACAAAACAGCCAAAAACAACAAAATGGCAGGACTAAATCCTTACTTATCAGTAACAACACTGAATGTAAATGGACTAAACTCTCCGGTCAAAAGACACAGTGGCTGAATAAATAAAAAAGCCAGACCCAACAATGTGTTGCCTACAAGAAACACACCTCACCTATAAAGACACACATCAAATGAAAATAAAGAAATAGCTGGGCATGGTGGCTCACACCTGTAATCTCAGCATTTTGGGAGGCTGAGGCAGGCACATCACCTGAGGTCAGGAGTTCCAGACCAGCCTCACCAACATGGTGAAACCCCGACTCTACTAAAAATACAAAAAAATTAGCCAGGTGTGGTGGCGCATGCCTGTCTGTAATCCCAGTTACTTGGGAGGCTGAGGCAGGAGGATCACTTGAACATGGGAGGCAGAGGTTGTGGTGAGCCGAGGTCACGCCACTGCACTCCAGCCTGGGCAACAAGAGCAAAACTCCGTCTCAAAAAAAGAAAATAAAGAAATGGAAAAAGATATTCCATGTAAATGGAAACCAAAAAAGAGCAGAGCAGAAGCAGCTATACTTAATCAGACTAAATAGATTTCAAGACAAAAACTATAAAAAGAGACAAAGAAGGTCAAAGGGTCAATTCAGCAAGATGATGTAACAATTATAAATATATATGCACCCAGCACTGAAGCACTGAAATATATAAAGCAAATATTAGAACTAAAGGGAAAGACAGACCCCAATACAATCATAGCTGGAGACTTCAACACTCTACTTTCAGCACTGGACAGATCATCCAGACGGAAAACCAACAAAGAAATGATTTAATCTGCACTATAGACCAAATGGACCTAACAGATCACATGACTCATTCCCAAAAATACACCATATGTTAGGCCACAGAACAAGTCTTAAAACATTCAAAAAATATGAAATTATATCAAGTATCTTCTCTGACCACAACGGAATACAACTAGAAATCAACTACCAGAGAAATTCTGGAAACTACACAAACACATGGAAATTAAATAATATGCTCCTGGATGGCCAGTGGGTCAATGAAGAAATTAAGAAGGAAATTCGAAAGTATCTTGAAACAAATGAAATGAAAACACAAAATACCAAAACCTATGTGATCCAGTGAAAGCAGTACTAAGA